TCAATGAATAATGTTTATTCAGGCCAACACTGAGTCCTAACTTAATAATTTCACCTAGGAACAATTGCTCTCTTTAATTTTTAAAATATATTTTGAACACACTTCCCTTCATGCCTTTCTACCTTCCCTTCCTCATCTTCCTGACCTCCTGATAGTCTCCTCCACCTCCCCTAAACACCTTTCCTACTACTTGCAATTGGAGATTATACACACACATACATGTATGTATGTATGTATGTATGTATGTATGAATGATAGACAGAGGAAAGTTTCCTCATGTGTATCCACACATTTTCCGTATGCATTCTTTTGTTGCTGGACACCTGTTAGTTCTATAACTTAGCTTCTGTAAATAGTGTGGTAACATTCAGGAGTAGTTTAGCTGTGTTATATGGACTATGAATTGTTAGGATTGTTTAATTAAAAAATTTAAACTATGTATCTCTGTATGTCTGTGTGTAGTATGTGCATGTGAGTGTAATACCCACAGAGGTCAGAAGAGGGCACTGAATTCCCTGAAGCTGGAGTTACTGGCAGTTGTGAGTGGCTAATGTGCGTGTTCGGAACCAAACTCTGGCCTCTAGAAGAGCAGTGAGTTCATGGCTGCTGGGGCACCTCTCCAGTCCCTGGTCTCTGGTCTCTGGTTTCTAAGGAACCTTCACACTGGTTTCCACAGTGGCTGGACTAGTTTGCATTCCTACCAGCCATGTGTAAACCACCCAGGATTTTCCTGCTACTTTGTTTCTGTTCATCCTAATGATGCTTGTATGATCTCACATCACAGACTTTGCACCCATTGTTTGTGGCCCATCTGGTTTGCTTAGAGGGCACCAATCCTTGTTCAGCACTGCTCACACCCTGTTCAGCCTCTTGAGCAGTGAGCACAGATCCCCTCCTTCAGTCTGAACTCACGGATGCCCTTTACTCCCTTCACCAGCTCTCCTGTTTCTCCACACTCTTCCAACCTGCCAGCACGCCCGCACACCCACAGCTCAATCCCTCTGCTCAGAATGGACATTCCTCCCTGAGCCCTCCTTCCGTTTTCCTCCCTGCTTCCCATTTCCTCTGTTAAAACTTGACCCCCTCCACATCCCCGGGGTCATGAGAATCTTCCCATTCCAAACATTCATAGCCCTTAGAGCAGACAGCCTACTGCAGTCTAAATGTGTTTCCCAAAGTTCATGAACGAGAAACCTGATCCCAAGGCAACCGAGTTGAGAAGAGGGATCTTGGTGAATTAATAAGGTCATGGGGCTTTGCCATTGTGAATTAATGCTGCTTTGTTATAAAATCGAGTTCAGTCCTCCTTCGCACACACTCACAGCCCTTCTTTTCACCATGAGATGCCATCTGCCATGTTACGATGCTGTAGAAGACCCTCACCAGAGATGTCTCCTCTTTCTTAGTAGTTTTATCTTCCAGAACCGTAAGCCAAACACACTTCTCTGGTGTGTAAATTACCCAGGCCTTGGTATTCTGTTATAGCTACACAAAATAGGCTAAGACAGTTAACCATCCAAATAACACTGACTCTACAGACCCTGTATCAGCCTCTATGGATCATTTTACACTTTGCTTCTATATAACTCAGGAATGTGGCACATTCTTTGAACAGTAAGTCAGACAGAAAGAAATCTTTGATTTTTAAAATTATGACACTGACACAGCCTCCCTCTCCCTGCAAGCAGGAGCAATGCCTTCGCTTATGCTTTCCATGGATTCCAGCAGCCTCAACACAGGACAAACAGACAGAAACCATCTGCAGGGAGGACTGGGGACCTGTATAGGGAAGAAGCCACAAAGCCACTTTTTGGAAGTTATAATAACCTAAGGGGATATAAATTAGGTCATTGGACTGAAACTAGGTTAAAAAATGAAGATAAGAGCACTTGTTCTTCTTCTTAGGATCCAGGTTCAATTTCAAGCACCCACATAATTGCTCATAACCATCTGTAACTCCAGTTCCAGGCTATCTGGTGCCCTCTTTTAGCCTCCCTGGGTGCTAGGCATGTGCAAAGTTCACATGCAGGCAAACACCCATACATGTAAAAAAAAAAAAAAAGAACAAGTCTTAAAAAAGAATTAAAACGGCAAGGGTGTGGCTTTGCAGTGTTACCCTGTGCAGTGAGTTTCTGTGCACTGACTATCACTAATGTAGCTGATAATTTGAAAATAGGAAGCAGAATCTATTTAAATTCTTAAATTCATGTTATCTTGAGCAGTTACTTTTTCCCACTTTGAAAGAAGAAATGCAGCTCTCCAGCAGAGTGGGAGAAACTGTACCCACTTTCTACTGCAGTGAAGTAGCCAAAGTCACCATAGTCACAGTCCCCTGAACTACATTTAGTCCCCGATTTGCAACAGCTATATTTGATGTTGTTTTAACTTTGAGACTGTGTAAAAGCACATGCACACAAACATTCCATTTTTTACTTTTCAATACTCAATTTTAAAAAATCGCCCTGTATCAGATGATTTTGCCCATTGTAGACTAATGTAAGTGTTCTGAACATATCTGAGGCAGGACTGGCTAAATTACAGTGTTGAGTAGGCTAGGTCTGTCAATGAAGTCTTGGCTTATGATATTTTTAGCTTTTAATGGACTTATTTGAACAAAGGCCACTTGTGTCAGGGAGCATCTGTACTCTGTGTGACTCTAAACTTAGGGAAAGATGTTTCTGTCCAGTGCACCCAGGACTAAAAGCAACATCACAGTTAGCACTTAGTTCCTTCCAGTGTTCCAGCACTTTCTCCCATGTATCCGTCTAGCACACACCTATTTTGTGCTCCCTGCCGCTCTGGCCAGGACATAGTCTTCCCATAGACCAAGAGGGCAAGCATCAGGAAGCTTCAAGTTCACAAGTGGGAGCTTTGCTCAAGGGGGCTAATAACCCTGCAGAGTTTAGTTAGCAAACTGTGGGCTTAGTTTTAGGCCTTGGAGAGTGTTGATACTCAAGTCCATGAACTTTCTAATTCCTCAGGATGCCTCTCAGGACTTGGCATTTATTTTATAGACTCATGACTGAACTAATGACCTAAAGGCATGCCGTTTTGAAAGACACAACTAACTGAACTACCATGACCATACAGGAGTGTAGACACTGATGTGGCCTAAGTGATGGCAGGGAGTGCTCTGGAAGGGAGACCTGAGATCTTTCATCATTTCTTCTGATGCTTTTGTCTTCTGGATATATATCATGTAGTCATCTGTTTAAACCTCCAGTCCTTTACAACTCAAGTACACAAGGGCAAGACAGCCATGGGAGCGATCTACAACCTTCTCTATCGGCTGGGCAGTCACTGCTCCAGTGAATGGTTGCTGGCTAAATCTATGAGCATGTTCAGTGTCCCAGTATTGTAAAACCTGATGATGAGTAAGTCAGTCTACAAAATGACATGTGCAGTGATCCAAGACTAAGTTCAGGATGAATGACACAGAGTATACAAACAGAGAGAAGACCTGCTGCTCAGGAACTGCATCTCTTCAGTTACCAAGGTCTTTTGTGATCATAACTGGATCCCATCACTCACCCAGAAAACCCAGGCTAAGAGGCTTTGTGTCGGCTATGGTCTCAGCCATCACTGTGTTACACAGAGGCTCATAAAAAGTTATTTTTGATGGATTATGATTCTGTAAAGGACACTAACTGCCACGAGACTCTCTTACATCCTGCGTCAACAATGCAATACTCTTCCCTAACTCACAACTGTTCAAGTTACTTACTGATAAATGTAAAAAAGGGGGGGGGGCAAAAATCTTACATTGTTGCCAAGGCAGAGCATCATCTTCAATGTTGATTAACTAATGTGCCATTTGGGCTAATGTAGATGATTTGTCCTTCCTAATTATTTGAAAAAGCTATTTAAAAAGGTCTAAAAGCCAAAAGATTCGGGTAGAGGCCAAGACATCAGTGCTCATCTTAACGCTTTCCGTATCTTCTCCCATCTGTTTGTGATGCTGGGGATTGAGTCCATGCCTCAGGCATGCTAGGCAAGCACTCTATCACCAAGCTACATTCTCAGCTCCTCTTCTCACCCCTTTTTATAGAGGGGTTTTCTGCATGTTGACAGGCACATTGAGTCCAATTATAATACTTTTACCCCAAGAAAGTTTAGAGTTATTTTGGGAGTGCCACAACAGTCAAAGATATATGCAAATCAACACCAAAGAGTGCTCTTTGATGGCAGTCACCTTCCCATAGGACTGCTCTATACAGGCATGAGTGGAGGTTGGCCACCTTGCTTGGCCTAAGTAGGACACCATAGAAAGGCCTCCCAGGCCTCATGCCCACTATAGAGTGGTCAGGAGAGGCGAGGCTGTCATATGCCCTCCCTTCCCACAAAGCATCTTCTGACCGTCCTTTTCTAACACGTTAGACTGAGTGAGAGGAAGACCACAGTGCTCACATCAGCCACAGCACAGCCCAGCATTCTCAGTCAGCAAACCTGCTCAGAGGCCACCCAACAATTGGGGTTTCAGCCAGAAATGCAAAGGGAAGAGACATTCCAGGTGATTTTTTTAAATAAGAAAAACTTACTTAAGGAAAGGAGGAGGAGGAGAGGAGAAGGAGACAGTGCACAAAGCCATGAGGCTGTCTGGTCAACCATGGGTTAACATCAGTTTCAGAGAAGCACACAATAACTCAATGTGTCTGCAATTCCCTGAGCCCCAGGGTGAAAGGCATTTTTACTTGTGGAAACAGAATGGTTCCTTCTTTCACCATTGACTCTCTCTTCTCTCGTTTCTTCATTTTTGGTCTGTCTAAACCCCAAATTTGGACCATCCATCATTTTAACCTGCCCAGAATTTTCATCTTTCCAGAGCCAAAGAGCAACAAATACCGGATCCAAAGAGCCCTCTCCCATAGCCGACTGCCAGCAGCCCTCTTCTCCCAGGGTTACAGGGTGCTCAGAGCAGACGATGTGAGCAGGACGTGCCACACACAGCAAATCACCAAACCAGAATGCATTAGAGGGGTTCCGGGGTAAGGGGGACTTACTCGTACTTGTGCTGGTTCCAATCGTGTTGATTGTGGTAGGGACAGATGAAGAGGAGTAGAGGGGCACGTGGCCATTCTCACACCCCAGGCTTTTGTCCTGCCAGTTGGAGGCGCTGATGCAAATCCCAGAATCCCGAGAGTTCTGCCACCCATTGAGCTTGTCGTCCGAGTTCTGTCTTTGGTGATAGTAGTGTGTCTGTCCATAATCCACAGAGTCTGAGCGGCCTCGGTTCTGGCTACCAAAGCTGGTTGATGTACGGTCCTCCAAATGATTGAGCCACATGGCTAGAGCACTTCGGTCTTCTAAGGAAGTGGCCGGGTGGATCAAAGCATAGGACAGCAGCTGTCTGCTCTCCTCAATGTGCTGGTTGTGTTCGATAGAGTGCGCCAGGATCTTGGGCAGCAGTTTCATATACTCTACTTTCGCGTCGAGGTTCCCTGGCTTCAGTAAAGGCAGGTGAGTTAACAGAAGGGAAATCACTTTATCCTTGGATTCCTGTTGCCATTGGTTAATGATTCCTGAAAGGGAAAGTACACAGGACACATGAGCAAATACACCCACAATCACACTAAACACCACACGCTAAATTTCTGAGGCTTAGAGTCCAAATTTAGGCACCATGCCTAAATGTTCTCAAGACTGCCTGTGTTTCAGATTGTTTAACTGACTTGAGATTTTCAGGGGCCAGGGACTTCAGTGAGATAACGTTCAAAAATTCTTAGAATGTGCAGAAAGTAGAGATGTGCCTAGACTTGATCCTTTGCACTGGGTATAGCTGTGAATACCTGTATCCTAGTTCTTGGAAGGTAGAGACAGGAGGATCAGAAGTTCAAGGTCATCTACTATGACCTAGGAAGTTAGACACTGCATGAACTACATGAGAACTTGTCTCAAAACACTAAATTCTTGGGGCTTCAAGAGGACCTAGGTTTAACTCCCAGCACCCACAAAGTGGCTCACAACTGCCAGTTACTCCAGTTTCAGGGCATCTGACACCCTCTTCTGGCTTCCTCAGGTACTTCACACACACAATGCACAGACATACATGCAGGCAAACACATATACATAAAATAAAAATAAATATAATTTCCATTTTAAAAGTTTAAGAACTCAACAAACAAATGTTTAGGTGTTTGGGTCCCTAATTCTTATTCATGTCTCCAAATAGACAATTACTTTGGTCCAATCATAGAGAATTGGTAGCCACGAATTCCTTCTTAGATAATGTGTTAAGTGCTGGAGAAGGGATGTATGTGAAGCTAATTCAACTTCCTACGCAGAAGAAAGAACACATCAGGAGAGAAGGACCTGGCACCTGTCTCCAAATCTTAGTTCAGAACAAAGCTTCATCTAGAGTTCCCAGTTTGGAGATGCTGGAAATGGAGTCTACTAGGAGGTTTTCTGGTCTCTTAGGGGCATGCCACTTAAATGGGCAGGAGAACCCTACCTCTTCTTGCTCTCATTTTGCTTCTTGGCTGTCATGAGCCAGCCATTATGGATTGGCGTCTTCCAAAGACCAGTTAGCATGGCAGGCACTGTGTCTAAGGAAGAAGCATGGTCTTAGAGGCAGGCATGGGAGGTAATCCCAGATCTGTCATTTAATTTGTAGTGGAACTTTGTTACATTGCTTAACTTTTCTGTGTCTCTATTGCCTCATCAGTCATGGGTGGTATCAATGATGTCTGTCTTCCTTGGATTGAATGGAATTAAGTATCAAAAGGACCAGCTGAGTACATAATGGAAGAAACAATCCCTTCCCTTTTGTCTGTATCCGTTAGACCCATCAGTCAGAGTGATGAGGTAAGTGGCTTGGGACGTTCAGTTTTTTAAATAAATAGAGAAACCAGGGAGGACACAAGGGAAGCCATTAAAAATATCACCAAGTTAGAAAAAAAGACAGAGTGAAAGGAAGAAAATGGAGTCATTGTCCTTCTAACAAGATGTGATATTGGACTCCCTTCTGGTGGGGTGTCCTTCCATGCTGAAGTCACCATGTGAGGCAGAAGCCACCAACCCAAAGGGAGACTACAGAGAAGAAATGGGTAGACAGAGGAGTCCTGGTGGAAGGTTCTAGAATACCTGATGTAGGGAGGCACCTCTGAATCCTATCAGGGCAAGGTGAAAGATAACAGCCACATATAGAGCCTGAAACTATGGTAGTCAAATTACAGGTGAACAACTAGTGGTTTGATTTAAACCAACACTCAAATGTCATTTCAACATGTAATCAATTCAGATGAATTTACCTTATTTGGACTCAAGTTAAATCTTTGAAATCCAGGATGTATTTTTATCATGGACAACATCTCCATTTGAGTGATTCCATGCTCAGGAACTCCACATGCCCCACTAGGTAGAGCCTGTCTTTTAAAGGGGGTCTGGGAGATGCATAAAACTCACCTTAACACTTCCACCTACCCATACTTTGTCAGCAAAGACCACTCACCATTTTCTGTTTTTTGTTGAAGCTTGCAGTATTTTTTTTATTATTTGTTTTGAAACCAATTCTCATTATTCGATTCATTCTGGCCTCCAAGTCTCAGAAACCCTTCTGTTCCAGCCTCTCAAGTGCTGGGATGATAGGTATGAGCCACAAGACTGGCACACTTTACATGGTGGCTAATTTCAGAGGAAAAGAAGTCTAGTCAATCTCTCTAAGGGTCTCAAGGGTCATAGGAAGGAAACAGAAAGTCCCAGAATAAAAACAGAAGTGTCATAAGCCAACAGTCCAACAGTGGGCAAAGGCTGGCAGAGTGCACACATACACTTAAATTTGGGAGTAACATTTAATAAAAAGAATGAGGCTGAAGAAATTCTTAGCTTCTTCCTAGACCACTTCCCTGTTTAAGTATTCTGCTCTCCCACAAAAGGTCAATCTTAAAAAAAAAGTCAGGAACAAAAACAAAACATAAGTAGGACTCAGAGTGTAAGCGAAACATGTTATCTATCTCCAGCAGCCACTTTCTGCCAAGGGTTAACCCAGGACTCAGAGGGAGGAGGCACAGCAGAGAAGGAAAATGAAGTCTCCATCCCTGATCCTTTCTAGGGCTGAGCTAGCACTATTCTTGTGAACAGCCCTCCCATGGTTTGTGGTTGTGGTGTGTCCAAGAAGGCAATCATGGGTTTTGCTTATCTCCCCTCTACTTTTCCCACTAGGAACTTGGCTATAAGGCAGCTTTCTGGGGCTAACCACACCTACAGGCTCAAACTTCTATTGCTATAGCTGTCACACTGACAGCTAACAGTATTGAGTGGTTTCTGTGGGCCAGGCTCTCTTGTAAGCTCTGCATTTAATTACTCATTGAATCCTCTCAAGGAGCTTAGCTAGAGGGGGCAGGGTGACAGATCTTATAACTAGCCTTATTTTACTGATGAGGACAGAGATGTAGGCAGAACAACTGAGTTGTCATCATTCCCCTGACCATGAAAAGGCAGAAGGGAGGTAGACAAATAAGCTTAAGATACAGATGGTTATCACACTAGAATGGCCAGAAGCCATTTGTGCTATAGTCATTATATTGACTGTGTATAAATACGTAACTATAGTGACGAAGCTGTGCAAATGTAGGAAAAGGAACTGGAGAGACAATGGAGAGGATACTTTTTTTATGTGTGGTTTTAGGATGCTCCCAGTTTCTTTTGACACTTGTCTTTGGAAAGGAACCTCATCCTCTTTCCTGAGGTGGGGAGGCTGGGGTTTATCGAGTCACTTGCAGTAGATGGAGTATGGTTGAAGAGGGCAATGTGCGGCTTCAGAGTTCCCCCAAGGATGTCTTAGGTGAGGAAATTCCATAACCAGAAGCACCTTGAGGAGGATTGGGCTTATTTGGCTTACACTGCCAATCATGTAAGGAAGCCAGGGCAGGAACTTCCCCAAGGCAGGAACCTGGAGGCAGGAGCTGATGCAGAGGCCTAGAAGGGACACTGCTTACTGGCTTGCTTTTTGTTTGTTTGAGACAGGGTTTCTCTGTGTAGTCTTGGCCATCCCTGAAACTCACTCTGTAGACTAGGGTGGCTAGTCTCTGCCTCCCAAATGCTAGGATTAAAAACTGGGTCCTCTCCCATCAATAACAAAATCAGAACTACAGGTTTGACCATAGTTGGATCTTATGAAGGCATTTTCTCCTGTTTTTTGTTTGTTTGTTTTGTTTTTTTGTTTTTTGTTTTTGATACAGTGTATCTCTGTGTAGTTCTGGCCATTCTGGAATTTGATCTGTAGAACAGGCTGGCTTCAAACTCAGTGATTTGCTTGCCTTTGCCTCCTACGTGTTGAGATTAAAGGCATGTGCCACTACCACCCTGTGGAGGCATTTTCTCAATCGAGGCTTCTTTCTCTGATGACTGTATTTTGTGTCAGGTTGACATAAGATTAGCCAGCACAAAGGTCTCTGGCAACCTCCATCCCCAAGGACCTAGGAGATCTCAGACCTATTAGTCTTCACATGAATAGAGCTACAGACAATGTTCTGAGGGACCCTAAGCTACAGTCACACATTTCTGGAGCCTCAGAAACAGTGTGTGATTACATATGTATTGTTCTAAGCATCTGAGCTTTGAATAATTTGTTTCATGATCAAAGACAGCCAACGTATATCCAAGTGTCTCTAAGGAAAAGGAACACTTTATCCTTGTACATGGTTTTAGATGTTAGGCCCCTCCGACATTCTTGCCCCTGTTCTGAGACAGACCCAGGACACTAACTCGCTGCTACTAAACACCTCCCTCATTTCCCTCACCTTGATTTTCTGCTCAGCAACAGTAGTAGAATATAAGTTAGCTCCAAGGGTGCCTTCAGGGAAAGAATGAACTGATCATGGGGACTTGAGCTATGTCCACATTAGGGGTGGAGATTTTTCAGGGCAACTTAGAAAATGGTTCATGATTATAATTTGGCTTCCTGTGGCGGTCTGCCTAAAGAAGAATGTGTGCTGATTGTCTGGATTTTCAGTACATCTTGTCAACGATGGTTCCCCAAATCAAATTAACATACCAGCATTCAGGGTCTACTTCCCTGCTTTCTAGACAGCACAAGTAGGCCTTGCAGCATGAGCATTTAAGAGGATACAAGAACAAATATCTCTGCCATCAAACAGAAACCAGATCCTACAAGAGGAAACCTGGGACACGCTGGTTAAATCCCACTAGATGTCCACTAGCCTTCTTTGCTGAGTCCATGTCCCTTCCAGAGAACAAGGAATCTGTGCTGAAGTTTGTATTAAATGGATTCTCCCTTCTTGGGGAAGACTCAGGAATCCTCACCATTGTCTAATGGGTGATCACCTCTGAGATTCCGTCTCTCATTGCCTCACCCCAGCATCAGCATAGACAGGCAACAACATGGAAACTGAAGTCCAAACTCAGTGAGTTTTGATGATGCCAACTGGTCATTCCATCCTTTGAGGACTTTCTCTGAGTAAAGTGCCCAGATGTGATGATTATTTAATGTGGAGAAAAAGTTAATGGTTTATAATTTTTAATCCAGTGACATAAGAGTAAAAAAATAAGAGTAAAAGAAAAA